AAGTACTGCTGCCATATATATGAAAAAGCAAAATCAGCTTTCAAACTAAGTACCGACTGTACAAATCACTGCTGGTCTCCATTCTCCTATATGGATGTGAAACATGGACACTATTCATTAATTCATGGAAACAAAAAAGGTCACTTTCACCTAGCATCAGAAAGAGTTGAAATTTCTAGGACACATAATGAGGAAAGACGGCTTGGAAAATTTGGCACTCACAAGGTATGTTGAAAGGCAAGAAAATGACAGAGGAAAGCAGCAAATGACCTACCTAACAAGCATGGGTGAATGGTTGGCAGAACAGAGATTAGGGGTTATAGCAAGACGAGAAACTTTACAAAAGACAGGAAATTGTGAAGACCCGTGATTGACCACGTCCTGAAGAGATATGGTATCTAGACGAAAAGGCACTGTTTAACCTCTGTACCCGCAAAAATCAAATGTTTCAAAAGGACATTTTCTTTTTCTGTTGACACTGTTATTACTTTATACACTTTTGACTCCCTTGGAAATGTTTATTTACAAGATTATAAGAATATATGAACCAAGTACAATGCGATATTTATTATTTACCATTTTTTAAAGACTTTTTATTTATCATTTTATAAATACATTTATAAATAATTAAAAAATGCAAGACCATCATGCAAGACAGTGTTGAAGGTGGACATAGGAAGAACACCAAAAAAAAAAACAGATTAGACAATATCAAACAATAGACAAGTATGACTATATGAGAATTGCTGATAGCTACCATTGTAGAAGAGATTCAAAATGGCTTCTACATTCGGATTTCCCCCTCCTTCACAATTACAAAAGTCAAGGGTTTTGGTTTGGTTTGTTTTACAGCATATCAACACTTCAATGGGTTATTTAATGCTGAGATTTTTAGGATATGTTCGTATGAATAGAATATGTATTCTTTGTAAGAAATCAGTTTGGTTTATTTTGTTTTACAGCATATCAACACCTCAATGGGTTATTTAATGCCGACAATTTTTATTGCGGGTAATGTTTTTCTTCAAAAATCTATATCTGGGAATATTTTTCCTTGAAGAAATCTATAGCTGGCCATATTTTTTTTCAAAGAATGTATAACTGTTTGTATTGCTGGTATTTTTTTTTAAGTTTTGCTAATAATAATTCTTCCTTCAAAAGTTATTGCTAGTAATAATTTATTTTTATTACAAAGTATTTCTGGTATTAAAACCTATTTTTACACAAGTTTGGGTGTTAACTATTTGTCCACAGCTGGTTGGTTCCACGCTCCTCAAAACCTCCTTCTTGCTGCTGGATGTAGTTTATCGTCATACCCAGGATGGACAAAAGTCAAGAGGATGATGATGATAAAAATTATCAAAATATGTGAACTCATTGCAATACAATATTTATTATTTATCATTTTAGAAAGATTTATTATTTATCATTTTAGAAAGATTTATTATTTATCATTTTAGAAAGATTTATTATTTATCATTTTAGAAAGATTTATTATTTATCATTTTAGAAAGATTTATTATTTATCATTTTAGAAATAAATTTATAAAAATTATCAAAATATATGAACCAAGTACAATGTGGTGGTATTTACCATTTTAGAAAAAAATAACTATGAAAACATTTTAAACTATTAAATCATTGCAAATTTTTCTAAAAATGACTAGAAAATCTGGCTAGATATTATTTATTGTCAGGTTATTGATGAAGAGGAAACATTAAGTACCTTGACTAAAGCAATTGGCAAAATTCTTTTCTTTGGAATGCTTGGCAAGACATCAGGAAATTACCAACCAAAGAATTTCCTTATATGTGGTTCATATATTTTAGTAATTTAGTAAATGTTTATAAATAAAAAAATTCATATTTATAAATTGTTAAATAATAAACAGTTTCTTTTATTAGTTGATTCACTTGACATGGCTTTTTAACTGCCTTCACTTCTTGGCAATGTTTATAGTTTTAAAAAGGGATTAGAATTCTAATAAAACCTAAACATATGAAAGTAAGTACAGTGTAACCCGGATATAAGAGAGATTTTCTCTGGTCCCAAATTAGAGCCTGTGTTAATGTATATAAAATAGACCAAACCCGGATATAAGAGAAACCCGGATATAAGAGACTTCTTCTCCGGTCCCGACAACTCTCTTATATCCGGGTTACACTGTATGTATATTTTCTTGTTAAAATTCCTTTTTCCATAATATAGCTATTTGTGCAATGCTACAAGGTTTATTACCAAAACAATAGTAATAGTGAATAAATTTGTTTTAAACGTTCAAGTATATTTAATCGCATCTCCCTAATAGCTGTCGCAATCTGTTAAAAAAAAAAATAATTGATAAACGATATGTAACCCATTTTGTTTGGTAGTTATTTTTTTGTCGGGATCCGAAGCCAAGAAAATTGTGCTTGTATTAGTTTTTGCAAGTGGTTTCAAGAACATTCAAGAATGTTCCAATTTCATGTATTTGCCTCTTAGACCCAACTCATGTTTATGTAGCATCTATAAAATGTGTCAATTTTAACATTTCATATGATGTGAATTGTGTACAGTTTTAAAAAAAAAAGGTATGTGTCCATTTTAACATCCCCATTATACAGTAAAAAAATAAAGTACTAAAAAAATGTGTTTTTATTTACTGCACACAGTTCATACCATAGGAGATATTAAAATAAAATTCTACAAAAGGTGTCTATTTTAAAGTCTCATATGAAGTTCCTGAATTTCTCATTAATTAAAACACTTTCTATTTACATTTAAACGTCTTTTAACGATCCAAAATTAATTCTTTGACAAAATTTTTACCATTGTGTCTGTCAAAAAAAAATGGCATGTCAAAAGGACAGTTAGTCCGTTGATGCAGCTATTGCCGTATACTTGGGTCTCGATAAATGATTTGATAAAGGATTGTATCAAAGAGCAAGACTGGAAATAATAACATGATCTCTCTTATGCATTGGTACTGGGTATTGACAACATCCAGCAGCAAGATGACTGATCTGGAGGTTTACAGGAGTGTGGAAAAACCTCTTAATTGCAGTTATTCCCAGGTCCACCCTGACCTTGGGTGTAAGCACCTGTCCGGGTCCCAGCTATGGACATAGTTAACCCCCCACCACCACCAAAAAAAACTGGTGTCAAAGCACTACAAAAGTATAAAATATATTTTTATAGTAAAAATACCAGCAATACATTTTATAAGAAAAAAATTATTACCAGCAATACTCTCAACAAAAAAAAAATTATTACCAGCAATACTCTCAACAACAAAAAAAATTATTACCAGCACTACTCTCAACAACAACAAAAAAATTATTACCAGCAATACTCTCAACAACAACAAAAAAATTATTACCAGCAATACTCTCAACAACAACAAAAAAATTATTACCACCAATACTCTCAACAACAAAAAAAATTATTACCAGCAATACTCTCAACAAAAACCCTCTTTACAAAAATACGTCAATAAAACCTGATCTACAAACTGACTTCTTACAAAGAATACATATTCTATTCATACGAACCTATCCTAAAAATCTTGTTGACATTAAATAACCCATTGAGGTGTTGATATGCTGTAAAACAAAATAAACCAAATCAAACTGATTTATTACAAAGAATACATATTCTATTCATACGAACATATCCTAAAAATCTTCTTGGCATTAAATAACCCATTGAAGTGTTGATATGCTGTAAAACAAACCAAGCCAAGACCCTTGACTTTTGTAATTGTGGAGGAGGGGGGAATCCGAATGTAGAAGCCATTTTGAATCTCTTCTCCAATGGTAGCTATCAGCAATTCTCATATAGTCATACTTGTCCATTGTTTGATATTGTCTAACCTGTTTTTATTTTGGTGTTCTCTCCTACGTCCACCTTCAACGCTGTCTTGCATGATGGTCTTGCACAGGCAAATTATTTATAAATTTATTTATAAAATGATAAATAAAAAGTCTTTATAAAATGGTAAATAATAAATATCGCATTGTACTTGGTTCATATATTCTTATAATCTTGTAAATAAACATTTCCAAGGGAGTCAAAAGTGTATAAAGTAATAAGTGTCAACAGAAAAAGAAAATGTCCTTTTGAAACATTTGGTTTTTGCGGGTACAGAGGTTAAACAGTGCCTTTTCATCTAGATACCATGTCTATTCATCTAGAATACATATTCTATTCATACAAACCTATCCTAAAAATTCTGTCGGCATTAAATAACCCATTGAGGTGTTGATATGCCGTAAAACAAAATAAACCAAACCAAACTGATTTCTTACAAAGAATACATATTCTATTCATACGAACCTATCCTAAAAATTCTGTTGGCATTAAATAACCCATTGAGGTGTTGTGCCGTAAAACAAAATAAAGCAAATTATCTCTTATGAACAGTTTTGCAACTGGTAAGAAAAAAAACCAAAAACATCCTTGATGACCAGACCTTTTGTGATTGTGAAATGTATTGATACTTGAACCTTAAATGCTAAATCACTTTTCTAATGCTTGAACCTTCTCATGAAAAAAAACTTGTCGGTATATTCAGATGTTTACTTTCTTTTCTTTACATTGCCATTATTTCACCTAGTAGTTTAAAATTTAAAAAAAAAAAAAAATATATGAATATGGCTCTGGAAAAAAAAAAAAAAAAAACTCTGTAAATATTTCAACACTTTGTCTTGTATACAAATTGAATCAATGCTTGGTAAACATGGGTTCTTTTACAAAAGAAATCTTGAGGTATTTATCAGATGTCAAGTCATACCAATTCTTCTTTCTCAGAATAAATATTGAGATGTAATCAATTCTTTCTCATGCACAGCTAAAAATAATCAAGATAATGATGCTAGTTTGAAGAAATATGAATAACTTGAATTGTGATTTTCTCCAAAGGTTTCTGGACGAATTGATCATCTTTTTATTGTCAAGGCTGAAATGATTGACATTTTTCTTCCTCCTCCTCATTTTAGTGTTTTCTTTTTTTTTTTCTCAGACACATCAGATCAACTGTTATGGCATTGGAACTCACCTGGTTACTTGCCAAAAACAACCGGCCTTGGGATGCGTATTCAAGGTAAGAGAAAGCAAATCCATTTTTACCCCCCTCCCCCTCATTGTTTACTTGTCTTCTTCTATGTGCTGTTTAACATTTAGGACATTGGCAATCATAGCTCTCCACAACTTCCTGTCCTCAGTAGCTCTTAATAAATTTTGCCTTTTTGTTATCTTTCTTAAACCCTATTGCACCATCTATTTAATCAAGCTCGCTAGGTATGTTGTGTTTTCTTTTCCTTTCTCCCTCTTGACTTCAATATGTCCTGTGAGTATCAAATTTTCCAAGCCTTCTTTCTTCATATATGTGCCTTGGAAATTTCAACTGCCTCTTTTCTTAATGTTAAGTATGTGTCCTTTTTTCCCCATTTTCTGTAAAAACTTTGTTGTTGCTCTCATATCCAGTCCATGGTATCCTCATCATCCTTCTATAGAACAACATTTCACTACTCTTTTGTTTCTTAATACTTTGCTTAGCTTTTGAAAGGCATCTTTCATTTCTCTGTTAAAACTGCTATTAATATTTCTTTTACTACATATGTCAGTCTTGTAACTGAGATTTACTATTGGTTCCACTGATCAAGATTTGTGATTGGTGTTTTTTTTTTTTTTCTCAATAGATAGGTAAGCAAACCTACCGGGCAGTTTCCTCACAAAAGTTTTACAAAAGAAGGCTCAGATAACCATAGACTGAGCATATAAGCAATGAGGAAGTTTTAAGGAAAATATAAACAAAAAGAATGCTTAGAATCAGAAAAAAGGCAATTGAAATTTCTAGGACACATAATGAGGAAAGACGGTTTGGAGAATTTGATACTCACAGGATATATTGAGGGGAATAGTGTGGTAGAACTAGGAGTGGGAGCAATAGTAAAAAAAAAAAAAAAAATACATTGCTTAGAGCTACAAGGGATAGGAAGTCGTGGAGCACCACAATCAACTGTATCCTGAGGGGGACACTGCAGAAAGCAGCAAGTGGGCAGGTTTTTCTTAATTACTAAATTAGCGTAGCAAGCTTCTTGCTTCTTTAAAGAAACATATATCTTTGCATATGACTCTAGGTGGTAGCTTGCATATTCAACGACAATTTGTCCTTGTTCTGTGATCCAGTCACTCAAAATTATATACACGATGAGCAAAGATGGTTCCTGCCTGACAAAGGACTTGTCATAATCACGTACGGAACTTAATTACAAACATTACAAGCATCAACACATATTCTCAGCTTTACAGAATTCTTTCAACTCTTTCACAGTGAAACAAAAGAAAAGTCAATCAAGCACATCGTTGCTATGCTAAAGAAAATTAACTTGGATATTACAGTTTTTCCCAATTCTTCACCAGCAAGAAATTACTTAAAAAAACGATCATCTAAAGTTACAAGTTTACCAAACATATTTTCGGCTCTTCAGGACATAATTCAAGAAACTTCCTCATTCAGTTCTATTTAACGGATTTTTGCTCTTTAGTGAACCTTTTCATTTAGCAGCAAGATTTATTTTAATTATTTTCAGAAGTACAAAAATTAATTTTTATTTAGTATCAAAAAGAAACTTTTTGAAACATCGACTAAATATTCAAAGTTCTATTTTATCGAACACATTCTTACAATATTCATATTACAGAAAACATTTAACTAATTTACAAAGAACATTTCTTCTAAAAAAACAAACTCCTTTCATTGTGAGACCTGATAAAAAAAAATTCTATCTCTCAAAGAACAGTTTGCAAATAATTAATTTTGTAGTTAAGGGTAAGCGACTCTTATTTTTGCATTGAGAATTTTCTGTACCAAAAAAAGTTTTGAAGGAACATTTTAAAATATTTTTATTCATTCAATTAAAATTATTGAACTTTGAAACTTAGCTCAACTAAATATTCTAAACAGTTTATTCTTAATAATTGTATTATTTCTGTATAAATATTTTGTTATTGTTTTACGTATGTTGTCATCTTTTGATTGCCTTGTTAGCCTTGTGCCATACATAAAAAAATAAAATGTTTGTGGAGGAATGAAGTTTAACACACGCAGCCAACCTTACGTAACTAAAAAGCTTTCTGATCACTTTTCAAACTCATTTTTCACCTTCTCTTCTACAACAAAAGCATTAATATGTCATATAAAATGAATAAAAAATGGAGAAAATAGAAAATGGTATTTGGGTTTGTTTCTGCATGTGGTTTCCTATTCCTTTCTCCATGGTTTGGAATTCAGTTTTCCTTCTCCATTTAGGATGTAGGCAATCATGGCTCTCCACAGTGTCCTTTCCTTTATTATCTATGGATTGCCATGACTTCTTGGGAAAGATTGGGGAGTGGTTTCCTATTCCTTTCTCCATGGTTTGGAATTCAGTTTTCATTTTCATTCTGGGGAGCTCTTGGGCGATGGGATCAATTAATACGATGTTGTATATCTTCTCTCGGACGGGTGGCAAAATGTTTTTGAATCCAAAGATGAAATACATCAACAAAGGGAATTTTAAACTTAAAACATTTTATTAAACATGTCAACGTGTACATTTCTAACTAGCCAGTGGGGTTGCTCTCTCACTCCCACTGGGAAGCCACTTCCAGGCACAAATGGAAGAAGGCACGTCTAAAATGTTTGATATGTTGAAAGCAACTACCTGATCTCTCCTGTATCTGACCTCAAAGGTCAAACTGAGGAAGTCAGAGCAGAAATACACTTCTCTAAAAAAAATTAATAATCTGCTAAACTAATATTTAACAATTGTAACTTCACCCAAGTTAAGAGAGTCTGAGCTTGGTCAGTGCCTATGTGGGTGACCATTTGGGATGTTGTAATTTTGGGTGGGCAGATGGTCTAATGGATAATGACTTGGAATTGTTAATTGGAGAGTGAAGTTCCAACTTTACATAGTTTTATTATGTTCACTTCTGTGCAAATACCTTTGAGAAAGGTATGAATCCACCTCCCTTCTCCCTGCTATAGGTTAATTAGTCGGACTTGTATCTGTAAATCATTATCTTCAATAAATTCTTGAATCTTTTCTGGTTTTAAATAACCTACAAAGGGTTGATAAGCTGTAAAAAAAAAAATCAAAACAATATTCTTGTCCTCATCATCTTCCTTCCTGCCACCTCCTTTCATTCATATCACACACCTCATTTATTACAACCATTTCAAACGAAACTCTCTACCTTGAGTGGCTCTCAAGCCCAAACCAAACCTTCCCTTGGTCGACAATCATTTATCTAATAAAAATAGTGTTGCTGCTGAGTTTTTTTCCTTTTTTTATGTTATATCTCTTCCAGATGTAGACTATCATGGCTCTCCACAGTGTCTTTTTTTTCTTATTTGTGAATTGCCATAACTTCTTGAGAAAGATAGGGGATTGGTTTCCCATTCCTTTCTCCATGGTTTGGAATTCAGTTTTCCTTCTCCATTTAGGATGTAGGTAATCATGGCTCTCCACAGTGTCTTTTCCTTGTTATCTGAGAATTGGCATGACTTTATGGAAACGATAAGGGGGTAGTTTCCCATTTCCTTTAGGTAGGAGATTGGTTTCTTGCCTTCCTCACAGTTTGGAATTTAGAGTTATTCTTGATTGTCAACTGCCTAAAACTAGAAAGCCTGGTCCTTCATATTATTTAACCTGTGGCTAGAAAGCTTAGAAAAGATGGAGTCATTCCTTTCCCAATGGCATTATTATGAAAGTGAACACAACAGTCAAGGTGGGAATTTGAATTTGAAAATAAATGAAAACGGATGTGATACCCTGAGAGATTGTGGACTGGAGTGATGAATTATAAGTTAGATTTGATCTTCTGTAAAATGCTAAAGTTCTGATAGCTTCACAGTTAAAGTAACTGTGAGCATTCGTCAGGCTTCCCTGAGACTGGAGTTCAAATAATAAAATTCAAAATTATTAGTGATCTCCCTATAACTTTGTTTTTTTTTTTCCTTGCAGCTTGTTGAGATTAATGGTATTCCTCGAATTAAGCTGAGCGAAGAACCAGAAAAGATCAGTATTCCTGGAAAGAAATGTGCCTATCGTCTATTTGGAGCGGATGGTAAGTAAAATGTTTAAATAAAATAATTGAAAATGAATGTCTCTGATAGTCTTTACTTTGTTACACTTAAGTACAGTTTTTTTATTTTATCTTATTTTATTCTGTTGAATTTACCCCAAGCAAGGCGGTAAAGCCACTAAGATACAAGAGGGTGACTGAGTGAGAAAGAATTAAAAAAACAGAACCATTATTAAGGTGTGAGAAGTTTAGAAGAGTAATCAGGACTGTTAATTTATCTTGGGGAACAGAAAGTCCGTTCATGCCTGAATTACTCTGCCAAGAACTAGGGTACCTCGAGTTGTTGTAATGGTTAGCAAGCTTGTCTCGCTAGAACAATTACGACTGGGTAGTGAGTTTGATCCTCACTGGGTGCCCCATACTTTCGGCCTTGTGCCACATCTAAGCTACGCTTGGAAAATAACTGCTCTGCCAAGAACTAACCAAATTAAATTCTTCCTTCACTAGAGAAAAACAAGCTTAAATTGAGCTACTTGGTCTGAACTCATCTGAACCAGCAGGGGAGATAGGTTAATCCTACAAAGCATTAGTTTTTATTACCTAGAGGCTATAAGTTCAATCCCTATGCAAGGTAACAAGTATTGTTCATTGAATAGCACTTAATGCATACAATGTACATATAGCGTTTTTTTAAATAAATAATATACAAGGAAATGTCATTTGTAATCGGAATATTGCATGTCAAATCCAACAGACAAGGAAATTTTGCAATTTCTTTAAGACAAAGAAAAATAAGTCAATATATTTTGCCACTTGACAATAGTCAATCTAGATTTGTTTCTAGTTCAATTGTAATCATGTTAACTTGATGTCTAACGAGGTCAATTAGCGAATGATGTCCTATGGTCAGATATTGTTGAGTCTAAAAGCTGAGGACCTGGAAAAGTTTAGAGTCCCTGCATTTATACTAAAATAATATTGAAGTCAAAACAGAACCCAACTTTTTTACAAAGTATCGAGTAACCTATTTGACAAATTTAAGTAAATAGATGGATGGATGAACAGGTACGACAAGCACAAAGAAGGGGTCAGAAAGAAGTATGTAAAGACACTACTCACTCGTTTTAGCTGATCAACTTTATTCTTTTTTTTTTCTAGCGGGTGCTTCCTGAAGACAATGTAAGAACAAACAAAATGCATATTAAATTATTTTAGGGATATTATCCAGGCAGTATAAAGTCTGTTCACTCCTGAATTACTCCGACAAGAATTCACCAGGCAACTGAAAGTCTTCCCTCACTTGAGAAAAACAACAAGCTTAAATTTAGCTACTTGGTCTGAATTTGTCTGAACCAGTGGGGATGTCAGTTTAATCCCTATGCGGAGTAACAAATATTGTCCATAGAACAGAACTTAACAATGAAGATAGTAGATAATGATTGATATTACATTTAAATTTTTGAATATCAAAGTTGGCTGGAAAGCATGAAGCTATAAAAGAGTTCCATACACAAGAAGTGGGAGAAAAGAAACAGCATAAAACTTACAGTTACATCTAGCCAATTCAACTGTAAATTGATGAGATCTTGATGCCAGTCTAGTACTGCGCTTAAACTTATAAAGTCGAGGTACCATAGTGAAGAGCTCATCCAAACAATTACCATGAAAGTATTTATAGAAAAGACACAGAGAGGCAACCTTATGGCGGTGGGAAAGTGACTGAAGCTGAGTTGCCAGGTCAGGACCAATAATATTGCTGATTCTTCTTTGGATTTTATCAAGGGTCTCACACGACACAGAGAACCGACTTTCTTAGCAGCTGACCTAGCAATGGATTCAATATAGTATTTCCACTTTATGTCAGCCAAGAATGTTAGCCTGAAAAGTCATATTGAGTCACTCTCCTGAAGGATAGCAAGGAGTGGGGGGGCTGCTTTCAGATGATTTTATGTTCTACAAGCAGAATTTTTGATATGTTGTATTCTATGAATTATTCAGATAATATTCCTCATTTTAGTTTTGATTAAAACCATTAATTTTGTGTTCATTTTGGCATTTCATGAAGTATTGTCCTTGTTCTGTTAAATGTTTAGACTCTTATCAGCACTGCTGCTACTTTTGATCACAGTATTTCAGCCTGTACTTTCTGCGGCCTTCTTAGGATATTAGAATAATCCAGAACCTGTACTGGCAACAAACTGCCTGCATATGGATAGAAAATGAATTCAGCAGATATGCAAAAATAGAAAGGGGGTGTGTAAGACAAGGATTTAAAAATTTAGTGTATAGTGAGCAGCAGGAATTGAATGTAATTTAAAAATATTTTATTGATTCACATTCAAAGCTATTCATGAAATTTGACAATATGTAGTGAAGACACCATTTTTGGGAAAATATATGTGATGTCAGGAAAAATATTTGATTGGTAAAAAGCCTCCCTGCATTAATTATTATTGTCATTATTATTATTAATATTATCAATATTATCATCATGATCATTATTAATATCATCACCATTATTAGTGTTATTATTATTGTCATTTTTGCTAATATTATCAATATTATAGTCATTATTATCATCATTATTACTATTGTCATTGTTATTAATATCAATATTATCATCATTATTATTACTATCATTGTTATTATTATTAGTGTTATCATTATCATCATCATTATTAATATTATTATTATATTCATTATTATTATCATTATTGTTGTTATTATTATTATTATTAAAAGTCACTTGGTGTGTGTAAATTTTACTGTTCTGTCTTCTATGCAGACATAGCCTTAGTAGATGTATTAATGAGAGACAATGAAAATCCGCCAAAGGCTGAAGAACGGGTGTTTTGTCGCCACCCATTCCAAGTAAGTAAAAATGAAATGAGATGGGCAGAGTGTGAATCAGAATCAGAGGCAGACAGGGTGCATGAGGCAGAAGCGGAGAGAGTGAGAGAATAGAAAGCTAATCTGAATGATGTGAAGAGCCAGAGGCAGATATATATATATATATATATATATATATATATATATATGAGAAATTTTAGAAATAAAATGAAAGTAAATTTGCAGCCTATTACATTGGCTTTGCTAATTATTTTCTTCTCCTCTCCCCATCCTTCCTTACTTAATTATACTGGACTCTCCTGTCGATTTTGACATATGAGGGTCAAGCAACTCAGTTCCTAGAAACCAACGGCCAGATTACCCACCCTGCACAGGACATTTGATTATAGTGGTGAAGGTTTGTGCAGAACCAGCCATAATTTTTGGAAGAGCCAAATACAGAGAACTGGTGCACAGTATGCCACAAGGTCCCTAAACAACCCTCCACAGATTTTGAATTCAGAGTTGTCCTTCTCCTAGACGGGTTGCCACCCAAACTATAGAACCCAGTCTGTCCTGCTATTTACCCATAGTTGGTGGGAAAAGATGATTTGTACCTTTCCCAAGGGTTTTAGCATATAAGTGAATTCAATGGATTTGACTGGAATTTGAACTCTGCTCTCTGGTTCCTCAATCCGATCTGCTATCTACCGTGCCTCCTATAACCAGTCAAGATTTAGACATATATTGTATAATATATTTTCTGTTTATATGTTACTTTTATGGATACGAAAAATGCTCTGTTTTTAATTAAACAGTATTAATTACATTTACTGGCCCAAATGTACGAGAAATTTTGTAAAATATATGTGTTCTCCGACAGGAATCAAAGCTGTATCCCATATGGAAACCATTATTTGGTTTGACGTGCTGTTAACCATTCAAACCAAATGACGATTTCTGTATTGGATACAGGTTTGATTCCTGTTGGTGAACGCATATTATCTACAAAATTTTTTTTATCATTCAGGACAGTAAATGCAATTAATCATCATGGCTTGGCTTCGCAAAACAAAGTTCAAGAGAGAGACTGTACACGTTGCTTGCAGGCACATTTGTGACTGATTAAGTCCAATGCGGGACAGGCATACAGTTGCAGTAGTTTCTGCTTAATGACCAGCCTGGGCTCGATGGCATAGCATTACTTCAATACTTCCCCCTCTGTCTCTTGTCCCTGAGATCAGCCCTGCAGGTATTTTCAAAGAAGGAAACAGCATAGTTGGTGGTGAGACTCCTGGTGTCATGGTTCTCAGCTAGGGTTGACCATTGGCAGTGATTGATGTGACAAGCAACAAAGGATTTTTTCAGGCAATCTTTGAACCACTTATTTGGTGCCCCCTCTGGCACGATAGCCAGTGTAGAGCTTGCCATACAAAATGTAATTAATACTGTTTAATTAAAAAAAAAACAAAAAAAACAGACCATTTACTGTATCCATAAAGATAGCATATAAACAGAAAATATATTAAAATATTTATTGGATTTAATCCATTTTATATATATATATATATATATATAGTTTTAAGGTGTGTTATATTTATGGGATAAAGTGCTCAATATCAGAGATAGAGCATATATATATATATATATATATATATATATATATATATATATATAATATATTTCTCAGAATTAACTTGTAGAAAGAGACAATATATATTAAGGAAAAATGACAATAGGAAAACTGTATTTTTAGCCGACACGTTTCGTCTAATGCGGACTTTTTCAAAGCAAAAAACGAAATGAATTTATTGAAACAAAGTATCTATAAACAACAAACAAAATGTCATTAGCAACTAGAAGAATTTAGAAATGCTAGTGTATATTCATATCGCCAACTGAAAAATGACGTCAATTACTTTCTTTGAAGCAAATATTTTTTTTAAAGAGAATATTTTCCCATGTAGAAATATTGTTTGTATTGTTGTGTTGACAGATACAACAGTTTTTCTTCCGATTTTTTAATATATTTCTTGTGTACGTTGACTTGGGAGAGAAGTGATTCTGTTAGGAAAGGTGATTTGGGGAAAAAACTAATGTACACAACAAATATTTCAAGAAATCAAAAGAAAACAGTTGAATCCGTCAACACAACAATATAAACAATATTTCTACACGTGAAAAATTCTCTTCAAACATAAAAAGTGAATGATGTAATTTTTCAGTTGACCATATATGAATATGCGTTTCTAAATTCTAGTTGCTAACGACATTTTGTTGTTTATGGATTTGTTTCAATAAATTCATTTCGTTTTTTTGCTTTGAAAAAGTCCACATTGGATGAAACGCATTGGCTAAAACTACAGTTTTCCTACTGTCTTTTTCCTTAATAGATATATATAGTGTAAGTAAATGAAGGTTCTTCTCTAAAAAGAAAAAAAAAGAATGATAATGTGTACATTCTCTAGTATTATGATGTTACATTAAAACACTTGAAGTGCCAAGTGTATAAAAAATACAGTCAAGTAATGGAGGACATATGAGCTTTAAGACTCACTCTTTGACAAATTCATATTTTGAGGAGAGCTGTCTTTTGGAAGCAAAGCTTATGGCTGACTGATAACAGGAGTGAAAGAGATGTACATGAGGAACACATCAATAAAGAAATTCTTTGTTAAAATTTCGAGGTTAGTTAAAGCTGAAACATATTTTTGGGGATTGCAAAAATATTTTTTTTCTTTTTTTTGGTCGAGGGAATACATAAACAATTTTTTTAATATAACATTTTTTTTTTTTTTAAACATGATTCATACTTTTTAACCCATAGCTGGGGGAGAAATGATGGATTCTTACCTTCCCAAAGGATATTTGTGTTTAAGTGAATGTAATGAACTTGACTGGAATTTGAACTTCACAATTTCACAATCAAGAATTTTTGCCTTGAAATCTCTTCAATATCAAAGTCCACAAAGTTTCTTGCACTGTAAGAAATTCTCTCTCAAGCTCAAGAAAAAAAAAATTATCTAGGTTATATGATTGTCATCTTTTCTCAACAGCAAACCTGCCATTTTTAAATCATTTGATCAAAGCAATGACCATGGTCTGAATAACATTTGCAATCCTGGTCCTTATTTGAACATTTCTTAAGGGACTTTGAAAAAAACATACAGAATAAAAAATACAAAATCTCATAAAATATAAAAAATATAAAATCTCATAAAATATAAAAAATACAAAATCTCATAAAATATAAAAAATACAAAATCTCATAAAATATAAAATATACAAAATCTCATAAAATATAAAATATACAAAATCTCATAAAATATAAAATATACAAAATCTCATAAAATATAAAATATACAAAATCTCATAAAATATACAAAATCTCATAAAATATGAAAAATATACAAAATCTCATAGAATATGAAAAATATACAAAATCTCATAGAATATGAAAAATATACAAAATCTCATAGAATATGAAAAATATACAAAATCTCATAGAATATGAAAAATATACAAAATCTCATAGAATATGAAAAATATAAAATCTCATAGAATAAAAAAGATATAAAATCTCATAGAATAAAAAAGATATAAAATCTCATAAAATATAAAAAATATAAAATCTCATAAAATATAAAAAATATAAAATCTCATAAAATTAAATCTATGCAGTTAGTATTGTTTGTGGTAAAAAAAAACCTTTGTTTTTCTCTTTCTTCAAAATGAATATAAACAAAATGAATATAAATAAAGTGAAAAATAAATGAAAATTTACATGTAATGAATTTACAGTATGCAAACTGAGCTGATTTTCAAATTTGTTTATTATACTGCTGTACTTTTTCTATGTTTTTAATCATTTCACCCTAAGCAAGGCAATAAAGCCACTAGGATGCAAGGGGTTACTATAATATGAGGATAACTACTATTGAGGAAACAAAAGAACAAGAATTAAGAAGACAGAACATATACTGTATAAACATTTAGAAATGTCAGAAATGGTGCAAAAATGACATTAAAGTGGTCTGAAGGTGGTTGACAGAAACTCATTACATATGTAATGCGCTTGAAATAACTAGGTCCTCAAGTGAGGAGTACTTGGTGTCGTTGAGTGTTTGATATCAGCCATTTTGGAGACTGTGTTTCGCTAATTTATGCATATAGACATGTGTAAAGTATCAGAATTTATTCATATAAGAGTTGCCAGCAAATATTTGGTAATTATATTGATATTTTCTTTTAGGAAACAAAGCGTGCTTATGTAATGCCAACACGAGTTGAGCCACTTTACAAAGTTTATTGGAAAAATGGCAAGGTAAGTGTGTGTGTGTTTTTATTCATTTATTTATTTATATATATATATATATATATATATATAATCTCAAATTGTAGGAGAACGAACATAGGATTACAGTGTTCAAAACATTAATTTAAAAATAGTGGTCAATACACAAAGTAGAGCTATAAATATTTATTTATCTTATGCAGTGTTTCATTAGAATATGCACATATCCACTATAAAGTTGTACATTTTTGTTTCAGTGTCAGAAAAGGGGAAAACCTTTTTTAAACATCTCATCAGGTGGAAAATCATGGTGATGAGACATTTAAAAAAGGTTTTGAATGCCTACTTAATCTGTTAGCGAAGTGAATTTGCCATTAATTGCATTAACTTTATTGATTTATTCTTTGAATGACTATTTTACAATAAATATATATATATATATATATATGTGTATTTTTTTTTTTCAAATATCATGGATATCATCAACTCTCCTCAGTTTCCTACTTTTTAATACCTGCGAATTGTCATCACTGCTTTTATAAATAAGTGCAGTAGTTTCTGCATTGTTTTCTCCATAGTTGCCTTGCTACTTACCTGTAGCTAGTGGGAAGGGAGCGTTGGATTCATGCCTTTCTGAAGGGGATTAGTATAAAGAGAGCACCACAGATTCAACTAAAATTTATACTTGGCTTGCCAATTTTATTTTCTGCACTAACAACTGTTTTCCCATCAACAGTCGTTTTTTACTATACTTTTACATGTATTTGCGTGCATGCAGGAGACACAGTGGCAACAGGCTCCCTCACATGTTGCCACCATTTTTAAAGCAAGCAATAAATTCTTCTGGTGTCAGTTTAAACTGATACTGTCCCAACCCCCGACCATATATCTCAATTATGATTTTGGTAAAGTGAAAATTTCACTGAAAAATTTTTACATTTTCAGCTGAAATGAAGAAAATATCAACTTAAAATAAAATGTTCACAACATACATATAGGGATGTCAGTTTAAACTGATACCATACTGATATGGGGCAAAATATGTATCAGTGCTATATATTTGATTTCCTCCCCTTTTTACCTACCGAATATATCGTATCTATTTACAAAGCCATAGTAATGATTTATATAATAGATAAACTTTGTAATTGGGAAACCCCTTAGCAGCTAAAATAAAGAAAAAAAAAACAACGTTCTTGTTTGTCCTCGGATGCGTAAGCAACAAGAGAATGTTTCATATTTTTTATTTGTTGCACAAATGTATTCTCTGTATTATTATCATAATACTAATAATAATAGTACATTTTGTTCTGAGTTCAAATTATATAAGAAACTAGAAAAACATGAAACACACCAAAATCACCTTCCTTTGATGACTCTAACATGGGCTATTATTGCACAAATAGAATTTTATTTGACACCAGGCAATCCTACTCATCAAATTATTTAAGAATCAGCATTAAACTATAAACGCACAAATGCATCAAAATTAGGTTCTTTGGAGACTCTAATGCAGGTATTAGAATGTTCGAAATTGAATTTTAATTGACACCAGGTGATTCTACTCAGTAAATTGTGTAAGAATAACTGGATAACATTAATTTTTAAAAGATGAAAATAATTCCTGTGTTGGATTTCTTTCGTTTCAACTTGGTGGACGTAAGATAGACCTGTAGGACTAATGTCCTTTCCATGTCTTAACAATGTCCATTGAAGAAAGTGACATAGCTATTGTAATTTATGCAGATCTCAAAATGTGATACAATCTAGAAGGGTGGTGATTGGTCTATGCTAGCCAATCAATGTCTCTGTTGCATATCAGCCATGGCTGAAGTTCAAATCTCTCTTTCACCAGAGTTCACTTTTTATTGTTCTTTTTCATTAGCTTTTTTTTTTTAAGTTATGCGATAATCTAATTTTTTTAAAATAAATTTTTTCTATATATATTGGCCAACCACATTTTAAATTATATATATATATATATATATATATATATATCTTTTGATAATTCAAAGATCTTATTTATATTTAAAAAAAAAAAACAAACACTGTTTTACCTTCCACTGATAATAGAATTTTCTGATAGTGAAATTTTAAGAGAGAAATGTGGACAATATTTTCTTAAACATTGTACTATATACCTCAGGTTCAACAAAATTTACCAACTCTTCGTGAGATGAGAGAAAAGACAATTTCGTCTTTGTGTCACATACGACAGGATCATAAGCGTGCCCTGCAACCCAGTCCATATAAAGTAAGTAATATTTCTGTTTTGTTGATTGAGTGCCGATTATCTCAATTACGTTTAGTAAGTGAAGTATATTCTTGTAAACAATGTTTTCGGAGAGCCTGGAAGTACTAAGTAAGTAATCTTGTATGATTATATACATCAGTGCAAAAATGTTTAAATTTAAAAAAAGAAAAACATGTTGGGGATTTTAATCCAGTAAATCAGCCTTATAAATACAATTGAACATCACTAGAATGGCTGGAAGAAGAGTCAGCTTGTTCTATTTGTTCTAGAAAGTTTTTTCTGCCATGTTCATGACATTAATTTTTAAAAGATGAAGACAATTCCTGTGTTGGGTTTCAACTTGGTGGACGTAAGATAATAGATAAACTTTGTCATTAGGAAACTCCTTAACAGCTAAAATCAAGGAAAAAATCATTTCACCCCAAGCAAGGCAATAAAGCCACTAGGATGCAAGGGGTTAATGAGTGTTATAGAATATGAGAAAAACTACTATTGAGGAGAGAAGACAATAAAAGAACAAGAATTAAGAAGACAGAAGATCATATAATACTGTATAAACATTTAGAAATACATTAGAAATGTCACAAATGGTGCAAAAATGACATTAAAGTGATCTGAAGGTGATCGACACAAAATCATTACTTGTGTAATGTGCCTGAAATAACTAGGTCCTCAAGCAAGGTGTTGCTGAAATTGACTTTACAAATTTAAAACAAAAACTTTTAGACCTAAAATGTTTACATCAGAAATTTTACAGTCTTGTTTCAAAGATTCTAGAATAGATCCTTCAGATCTACAAATCAACAATTCACCCTTGCATGGAGTATTGCTGCCATATATGGTCTGGATCCCCTTCTATTTGCCTTGAGGTTCTTGATAAGATCCAGAGGCAGATATGCAATATAATTGGCCCTGTTCTGGCATCTCGTCTACGGTCACTCTCTCTGTCTTTTTTACAAATACTTTCATGGTAATTGCTTCAAGGAGCTGCATTTGCTGCTTCCCAGACTTCATGAATTCAAGCACCCTACGAGGCTGGCATCCCGCTCTCACTCTCGAAACTAGTAAATGTAGCCATCTCTTCTACTCCAATAGCTTCATATCTCGCACATCTCGCCTGTGGAACTCCCTCCCATTTTCTTGTTTCCCTGATAGCTATAATCTCCAACTATTCAAATGTAATGTCAATCGACATCTCCAGTTGCCTTGATCTGTCTACTATCCTTCTCCTCATCCTTTCCTCTATCACTCCTATCTGATCTTGCTCCAACTCTCTGTAACCCCTTGTGTCCTAGTGGCTTCCCGCCTTGTTTGGGGTGAAACGCTTAAAAAAAAAAAAAATACTGAAAGTAATACTTAAACACACACACACACACACACACACACACACACACACACACACACAGATGAATTGAAATTTCTCATTTCATATTCAACACACACTCAAAGACTTTTTTTCTTTTGAACAAAAATAAAAATCTTAAGAACAAGGTTTAAAATTTTAATTATATTTTTAAGATCGACTATCAATTTTTAAAATCAACTCAATTTCTTGGTGAAACATTTTTGGAGGGATATCTAAAGTCTACGGTTCATTATTCTCCGGATCTTACTATCTGTAGGAGTCTTGGTACCGAACTATCGCGGTCCGGATAAAAGAATATACAAGAATTTAATGCAATAAAATCTCGGTCTAAACAAGGGAGGTAATTTCGTCAAATTTTATAGTTATCCCCCCTGAATTGTCTTAAAAATATTTTAAAAATGAGTGCCCAAGGTAAAATTTAAATGAATTAATTGAATAATAAAGTAGAAAAAGGGGAGACTGCTTTTTAATTCCTAACCAATGACAATCCTTTCTTGTTTGAATGCTCTTTTATTGAAACAAATTTTATGTTTAATTATTTTTCCCCTATCACCAGATAAATAAATAAAAAAACAGCCAAATTTAAGTGATGGAGTAGCAGTAAAGTCAGTGGGCAATGCTAAACAAAGCTGAAAATTTATCTATTGATGCTCAAAATAAAGATTTAATGGTAGACAGTAGCAAGAATAAATGGTACTGAACGCCAAGAGAAATCTTGAAAAGTGACCAACGCTAAAAAACAGCTGTGCTTATTATTTCAATTTGTCTTTCTCTCTCCCTGCCAAAATTGTCTGCGTATTTTCAGTGAAGGATGAAAGGTTTGATGTGGGGTTGAAGAAGTCCTTATTAAACATCAACTTTCTCATATTTAAATGTTTCCTTCATGTCAGAATCACATTGAAATCTTCCTGTCTTTTAAAGTAATATGTATGGCTTAGTGACTAAGAAATTGGGTTTTGAATAACTGGCAGTCCTCTCACATGGTTACCAAAGTAGTCTTGCCAAATAAGAAATTTTTATTAAATTTTATAAAAGGGAGTTCAGTTTGCTATGTAAATTGACCCCACTATGCAAGAAAAAAAATTAAACGTTTCATACAATGTATTTTCTTAAAATGTAAAAAAAAAGAAAATTCTTTTTTTAAATTTATAATCTGGAGTACTTAGTCAATAATAATATATGAAAAATGAACTATATTTATAGCTAATAAATATATATATATATATATATATATATATATATATATGAATCTAAACAGAGCATTTACTTAAATAAGTGTATCCATAAAAATAACATATAAATAGAAAATATATTAAATATTTGTCAGATTTAATTCATTTCCTATGATATATATATATTATAAATAAATTGATTTAAAATCAAATAAATATATATATATATATATATATATATATATTAATATATATATAATTATATATTTTTTATATCATAAAAAACAATTTATAAAAAAAATTAACAATTTTAATGTTATTAATGGTGAAATCACTTCACTAACAAGGTTTAATGAGACATTAACTTGCAATCAATTCCTTCTGACAACTCAAATATAAGGATCTTATTATTCAAGGAATTGATATTAAGTTAATGTCTCGTTAAGCCTTGTTAGCGAAGTGACTTCCTCATTAATCACATTAACATTGCTATTTATTCTTTGTATAAATTGTTTTTTATGATATATATGTGTATGTATGTATATATGCAGCATGTCTTCATTAAACCATGTTTTATTAAATAATATAGATATATAATATCTATTTATTTTTATAATAATCCTTTCTAGTTCTCTAATCATTTTCTTGATGTTAATGTAAAGATCAGCTATATCTGTGTCAAAAACATCGAAAAATCAATATCCCAACATAACAATATTATACTACATAAATATATGTCCAGCAATAATAGCAACATTTTAAAAATAAATGCAACTGCTGAAAAAATATGATCTGTCCTTTAAACAGTCAGTGTGTGACTGATAATATTGTATACCAAGCTAGCATACATTTTAGAGGTTTTAGAGGCGATAGCACTCATTATTGCTGAAGCTTTGCAGAGCAATAAACTCATCCCAGAAAGAAGAGCAATCCGTTTCGTTAAAGCAGGTGCAAAGCCAAGTAAGAAAGTTGCAGGATCCCATTCATTGTTATCAAATCAAGTCAGATTGGCAGATCTTAGTCGATGGGGGAAAAAAATTGAAATTCCCAAACATATATACTGTCCTCCAAACTCCGTCCAAATATAATCATTTATTCGGAGGCCACAAAACAGATTATTTTGCTGGAGTTAACTGTCCCATGGGAGGAGCATATGCAAGAGGCATTTGAGAGAAAGTATAGTAAATATGAAGGACTCTTAAATGATTGCAGAACTAAAGGATGGCACACTCATTGTTTTCCTGTCGAGATCGGCTGTAGGGGGTTCGCTGGACAGTCAATGATACGAGCCCTTACTAGCCTAGGGATAACTGGACAAAAAAGAAGGCAGGCGATTCAAATGATCCTGGAGTCCGTCGAAAAGGCCACCAGGTGGTTGTGGATAAATAGGGCTAATGAGTGGCCCAAAACTACTAAAAATAAGAACGTTCCCAATGCAGATGTACATACGCCATAAATGCCATCTTTTAAGGCTGGTTAGTATAGATGTATGTGAAATTTGTGTATATAGATGACGAGAAACTTGCGAGAATCAATTTTTCGATTTGCATTCAGTCTCATATGCAATGACTTCATTTTTGCGTCTTACTGGCCTTCCGAGTAGATTTATTTTATTACAAAAAACATTCTTACAAGTAACTCTTTCCTTTTTTTTTTTAAACGGAATCTTAAATTATTTCTTTTTTGGTTTCCTTCATGGATAATTTTTTTTTTCTTTTTTTCTTTTTTTTTAGGAGCCACTTATTATTAGCTAAATTTACATGCTATTTTTTCTTTTAACTATTATTCAACATGTAAATATCTTGATCATTTATTTTGAAGAATTTTAGTTATGTTATTTCTCTTGGTTTTTAAACGAATTCCTTCCGGTAAGGATAATTTTTTTTGCGGGGGTAACTTATTTTATCTAAAATTTACACGTTTTTTGGGGGTTTTTTTTAACTGGTATTTAACATGTTTGATAGTTTGATTAATTTATTTTTAAGCAATTTTTGTTAAATATTTTTCTCTTAGTTTTTAAAGTAGTTTTTAGTAGTTTAAAAAGTTGTTGGGAGGTTTTCTTCTATTCTTCCAAAAAAAACACCCTATCTTGGCTGCATGTAGGAAGATCACTACAACCATGCATACCTAATTTATAACTTCGAATAACCCAAGTGAAGTCTTGATTGGTTGTTGTTTACTGGGGCAACTTATATAATGCACGTCCTAAAGCTAGTGGCAAATTTTTGTTCTAGGTGCGGGTTGAATACTGATCATATTCGGTCGGGTTGCCCATCAAAATAGTCTGTTGTTTATTTAGACCCAAAACTTCTAGTGACATGGGAGCAACAACACTGATGACGCATCTAGATTTGGCATTTAAAGGTGTATTTTAATAATTACATTCCAGTAACAATGTCAAATTTTATTTTGGTTCCACTGAAAATCTTTGGAAATTTTGTTTCTATCATCATCACATGACTTTATGTTAAATATATAGACATCATTGTTCTCTCCAAACATTTCTGGCAATTAAAAAATGATGGTAATACACCCACTATTATGTGTGATATTGTAGCAAAAACCAAATCTTACAATAGAAAAAATAGAAGTAATTTATACCTTGTAGAAAAATTAGTTATCTTAAAATACTTAAATAATCCTAACTTATTAAACAAGAGAAATGAATTGGTTGTCACATGTATACATAAAAACAAATATCTATTGAAGTATGTTGATCCAGATTAATTTTTACTGTAAATTATAACCTTTCCTATTTTTAATTTCTTCTGTTCACTTATGTTGAACATATACAATTTTTTTTTTCTTTTTTAGGTCTGTTTATTTTAATGCAGAAAAAAATACAATTAATCCCCATTTATTTTTAATATAAAACATAAATCCCATTTATCTTAAGTACAAAATATTTTTTGCATTTAAAATAGATTTTTAATACTAAATAATTTTTTTCTTTCTGTTTTTTTTTTTTTTCTATGGTTTTAGGTCCATTTTTAAAAAAAACTCGATAATCTTCGTTTGTTTAATATAAAATATAAATCCTAACTTTAAATAAAAATGAATAATTGTTTTATATATAGTTTTAGATTCATCTACTTTAATATATTTATTTTAACCATTATACCATTAAATCCCTGTTTATTTTACATATAAAATATAAATCACACATATATATATAATAGCTGGCTACTCTTATTTGAGGATATCCATCAACTAGGGCAGCTAGCCAATCTCTATTGCAGATGCCTGCTCAGGCACATTTATGCTTGTTTAACATCCACAGTGTCCACCTGTGGTTTATACTACGACTATGCTGAGCAGACCTTAGTTAGAATTTCTGGAAAAAAGTGTGTTATCTAGCGTGATCAACAGTCTGTACAAGGCCAGCACACTCAAACCCTCAGTCACGATGACTTGTGACTTTGTGCTAGCACAGCTATCGATGGTCCCCCAAGGGTTCTGTCTACCGAATTTCATTCACAAGGCATGGGTCGACCCATGGTGTGGTTTTCAGGCACTTTTCAAAGATACTGCATGCTGAGATCGTCACACTCCAGTCCAATAACATCAGGAATTCTCCTTCCTGACAACAAATCAACTGTGGTGAAATTCAAACCTGGGTCTCATGGTCAGAAATTTGAACAGTCTAAATCAGCCATGTGCCCATATATATATATATATATATATATATATATATATATATATACACACTTTTTTTTATACATATATATATATATATATATATATATATATAGACACAATATATATATATATATATACACACACACACAGACACGTGTATAAATACACATGTATGTGTATTAACATATATTTCTTAATTCTGTCTAATCACACTGAGCACTATTATGTCTACATCTCTTGGTGTATACAATCACTAATATCTAGGTATGTCATTTGCCTAACCCTATATATAAATGGCTATTTTGCGATTGTCTGACGATCGCAAATAGTGTGAAACCCAGGGTCACATAATCCCCCGTATAATATATGGACTGTGTTAACCAGATATTTTTGT